TTAAAATCATGAGGGGCATGGATAGAATGTATAGTCTATTTCTTCCCAGGCTATGGGAGTCTAAAACTAGAGGCCATAGGTTTAAAGTGAGAGGGAAAAGATTTAAACGGGACCTGAGGGGCAACTTTTTCATGCAGAGGGTTATGCGTATATGGAATGAGCTGCCAGAGGAAGTGGTGGAGGCTGGTACAATTACAACATTTAAAAGGCATCTGGGTGGGTATATGAATAGGAAGGGTTTAGATGGATATGGGCCAAATGCTGGCAAATAAGACCAGATTAAGTTAGGATATCTGGTTGGCACAGACGAGTAAGACCAAATGGTCTGTTTCCATGTTGTACAGCTCTGTGACTCTACAACTCTATTTAACAGTTTGCAACTGTTACTGTACTAGAAGGGCCTGGTTTCAGATACCTATAGTTAACATGATTGCATTCCATATGTCAGGTAATTATGTGGAAAACTCCCTGAAGCAATATTGGCGATATCAATAAAAATTGATGGTTTATGATAGGTTAGATTTCTGACTTCACTTTTACATAATCAGGCTAATGCAACATTAGACTAACATAGGTTACAGAGTGAACACAAATCACGTTGTAAAGATAGCTATTGTTTCAACAGAATGGACATCAAGAGCAGTAAGTTACTTGTGTTTGAATAATGGAGTTAAATCTTCAAGGTCCACTGGTTGGAAATGCAGGCCGGTTAAAACTACCACACTGACAGGCTTGCTGGCTTCTTAACAAAATTTGTAGTGCTGGTGGCTTTTACCAGGGTGAGGAACGAGTGCCCCAATATCCATTCTGATCCATTAAGATCATTTAAAAAAATAATTGACAGCTCCAGGAGTGGTACTCACACATGCTGACAGACTTTTTTAAAAATGGTGTTATGGGTGGAAGGAGAAATTGAGAAGGCAGTTCAATGATCCTTGGCCGCAAGGTTGCTGAGATGATTCTTTTGCTTGTCAGGATTTGCTGTTCATCAATCTTTCCCTCTCTTGTTCTCTCGCTCGCTCTCTCTCTCCCTCCCCCCAGGTGTTTTCTAAATTCTTGCAGGTGGCACAGACTGACTAGTTCACAAATTTTCAAGTTTTTGACTTATTATTTAAAAGCCTCCACTTATAGTAACTGGTCAAGTGAAGGAAACTGACTTCAGGTGTGTTTTAGGGGCAGAAAGACACACAGCACCTACCCTTTTGGAGGTGCGAAGGCCTCTGGCTGTCTTGTTCACGCCCACAAGTTGTTTGGCTCCCTCCAGATGTTGGCAGGTAAAAGGACTTTGCATCAACAGCTAGTTATCAAACTACAGATCATTCAGCTCCTTGTTGCCAGTAGAATCTCGTTTTATACACACCTACTTGTCCTAGTTCATCTGCAATAGCTACTTGCCTCACCACTTGAACAAATAGCAGTGTAAACAGCACTTAGAATGAGTGTTGGTACCCTGCTTTCTGAAAAAAAGTGCAGTAATCTGTTCATCAGTGCTTGGTTTCAAAAGCAGTTTTTCCAATTAAGTCCACAATCAAAAAATACAGAGAAATAAAAGAATATGGTTTTTAGGATATACAATAGGTAGCCAGTTATAGCCACCACAGGAAATTGGATAGGCCCCATGAAAGGGTGAATAGTACAGAGGGGACTAGGATTTGGGCACAGGTACTATGGAGTCAACACAAATGAAGGGTTCAAAGACAGTGTGAGCTCCTCCTTCCTGACGACATGAGGTCAAAAGAGGAGATTTAAAATTGCTAAACATAGTTTTGGGCCACTGAAATTCAAGGCAAGATGGAGTTGGCATTGGGGTACACAAATATTAAATTTTGGTCCCAGTGGTGACAAGGAGCAACAGCCTCCCTAGGAAGGCCAGAACTCTGGGCATCGGGAGACGAGAACAGAGGGGTGGAAGAAAGATGCATACAGAAATGATACCTTCAGCAAGGCTGTATAGCTGTAAGCAGAGATACCTTGAAATAAGAACCAATGCTGCAGATTGAGACTATCCAGGTTGGATGGCCACATAAATCTGAGCCTGCATCACCAAAGACTTCACAGCACTGCTCCTTTTAGTGTGCCAGTGGGCACTAAATCACTGTGGCCTTTAATTTCTTTGTTTCTGGCTCCTTTCAAGGATCAGCTCCAGACCTTGGCAGTATCTGCAACTTCTGCAAACCACTGCAGCGCTCATGGTCATGATGCCCTATTCGAGAGATGTGGCTAATACTTCAATTCTGAAAAAAATGTAGCTTTGGAGACACAGAAGACAGGCATTTTTGCTTCCACCTTTGAATTCCAAAGGTAGAGGACATCATCAATTGCACCAATGTGGCCTTCAATGCACCCAAAGACTGGCAAGTTAGTTTTATCCATAGGATGAATACCTACTCTCTCAATTTTGAGTTCATCTGCAACGAGAAGAGTTTCCTGCTATTGTCAGTCACTTCTCTGCCAGCTGCTATGACTTCTTCATCAGTCCACCTCAGCTTTTTACCTCACCCTTCAATTCCATGGACACATTTTGGGGGCCAGGCAATACATCTTGAAGCTATACCTAATCACCCTCTAAGGGAGCCCATAACAGAGGCACAAAGGCAACAATAATTCAGGCCATTATACTTGTGAATAAGTGGTTCTGGTTGATTGGACCAATCAACTGACACACTGAAATAGATTCCTGACAATACTTTGCTCCCTTTTGTGGTCTTTGTGCTCTCCGTACCATCACCCTTCTGAGCAATGTGAACCTTGAAAAGGTTAAGGACTTGGAAGGACATAGTTCTTATTAGGAAGGGTCGAGCAGGACAATGAAAATAGGCTGAGGGAGAAGGTTAGTCTTTTTCTGCATGGCTCAGGATTCCAATTAACGTAAGGGATTGTTTCATCTTGGCCCATTTCAGTGAAGCTCTCTGACATGAGATGAACTCACACAGAATTATCTGTGATGACACTTCAATTGTAGTCATATCCTGGAACTTGTAAACTTCCGACTGCCAGTAAAGAGTGTACATCTGCTTAGAAGTTTCTCTGTCGTTGCTTACCTTAACCACTTTACAACTTTTTACTTATCCTGCCATGAATAAAAGGAGACTAAAATATGTGGATTCACATTTCAATATTTTAACGATGCTTATAAAGACAATGAGTGCACAGTTACATGGAGGAGAAATCCCACTGATCCACCCAATGGTCTGCCTGACATGAGGCCTCTGTGCATGGTCACATTTGCAGCACTAGGGCTTTTATCTATTCTGAAGAGTTACTAAGTACCGTGGGCACATGCTCCTCCTTTGTTCAGACAACATGCAGCCTTGTATGCCTCAGTCGATGTACCTGCTAGAGAGTGAATATCCAGAAATCCGTCCTCTGCCATTTCTCCTGTGGTTTTAGTGAAATGAAAGCAGCAAGCTCGTTTGCTTTTGCCTCTAGCTCAGATACACTTGGTGACTGACCTCAGTGTGGACATGTGCATCTCAAGAAGTGGTTGCGCCTGCGTCATTAAATGGGCTTTCTCTGTCATTATGCCCTGCTTCATAGATGTTTCAAAAGGCCTGATGACCAAGGAAGCTGATGATGATGGTGATGCCCTTTGACAGGTGGCACCCTCACCATCTTCAGTGACTGTCTCAGTCCTTGGACAGCTGGATGGATGATCAGCTTGGAGGGTGGGGGGTGGCATGATTCAGATTTCTCCAAACATCTCTGCATCGCCCGTGCCAATGACTGGTCAGCCTGCATGGTGCGGGATCCATGCTGTGAACATGAGTGTGTAGTGACTTGTGAACTTAGTGTTGTGCCTCATATTGGTCTCCATGAGTTAGCAATGCTCTCAGTCCCCAGAACCTTGATCCATTGAGGTGTGTGTGCCTTACTCCAATCTCTGCCTGGGAACCAGCATTACCTCATGGAATTTTGACATGAGAGAGAAGGGATACTGAGGGCTCAAAACAGAGAAGCTGTAGAGAAGTATGGAATGTGCAAGGCGAAACTTGGTAAGGTAGTTAGGAAGTAAACTAGTTCTCAAGAAGGGTCACTGTACTTGAAATGTTAACTCTGCTTTATCTACATAGTGCCAGATCAGCTGAGTTTCTCCCACAATTTCTGTTTTTGTTTCAGATTTTCATCTGCAGTTCTTTGTTTTACTTCAAGTTTGGTTTAATTTGGTCAGTTAGTTTATTCAAAAGATTAGAAAGCAGGATTGATGACAGCACTTTCCCCCAGCCAACAGTGGTTGATACCTCAACACACTGTTGTCCTAACATGCATCTTTGGGGTTATATCCCACCTCCAAACATCCAGTTATTAGAAGATCACAGCAGAAATCTTTCTCTACTCAATCAACTTCACTTAAATATATAAGCAGAGAAAATAAAATCAGATTGATTCACTTTCGAGTGAGTTGATCATTTTTAAAAATGTTTTACTTTATTTAACCGTGGTCCCAATGTAAAACAAAATTGTTTGGAGTATTTGAAGCTTATTTCTTCCCATTTTCAAGATTTTTCTTTCTCCCCCTTTACTGTTCAGCAAGTTGGACAAGGAAACAAGGTGACTAAGTGCTTTTGGTTTGCCAGTGTAGCTTTACAATTGACCGAAGACGTACATGATAATTCATATGGGATTTCCTTTGAATATCTAGTGTTGTAACACATGTATTATTCCTTGTAACATGTTTCAATTTGAAACTAACTGCAGAAAATCATAGGTGCAAAACTAGGTCCTATGACTATGATGGTCTTTTTATTCATATTCCAACATTCTACTGTGTCTGTTACAGGCCTAAATCGGAAAATGCATTTTGTAACTAGTGAATTTCAGTTGCTTGAATCACAATTCTTTTCGACTTATTTGCCAGGAATTGGACAAAAAACAAAAATGCAGCCCCAAAGACAACTCGGTTAAACTGGGAAATGCTACAATATGACATTTAAAAACAGTCTAACATTTTATTTGTAAAGCTACTGGTTTGAAGGAGCTTGAATTTCTTTAACCTTTTGTACCCATCTCTTAATCGTGAAGGAGAAGCAAGTGTCGAAGGAGTTCTCAATCAATTGGTGCAGGAACATTTACAGCTAGCTCCTCTGCAGTGGGGTGAGTACTAAAAATGGAAGTTTTGGGATACTGATGTGAGCAATGAATCTTTTCGAGAAATCTAGGTAATGTGTTAGAATTACAATCAGTTAAGGCTTTATTACTTGTTGTTTTACATCTTAATTTCTGGTTGGAGCTGTTTTGCAACCCTAATGTTGTTTGTTGGAATTTGAACAAACTTGGTGATGTAAAATGAATGTTTGATGTTATTGATCTTTTGTTTCTAATGAAGAAGTAGCTGTAACATGTTCAATGGTTAATTTGAAAATGCCTCTAATTGGGAGTCATTCTCTTCTCACCTTTGAACAAAACAAATTGTGAACATAGAGATTTATCATCTAGCACAAGCCAATTTTTACTTGCAATGCAACACTCGGTTCAAGATACTTAAAGATTTTTTTCTTTAAATCTGGGAAATGAGGGGTTCAGATGAAGTGAAAGTAATATCAAGTAATGCGTAAGATTGTTTATCGAAATGTTATTAGTGGTGCTGGAATTAAGATTTCTCTATCATTTTGATCTTGTATGTTGTAAAGGTGTTCTGTTTTTAATAAAAATAATTGATTTTAAGGCTATAACTTGGCAATTTGTCAAAAGTAAAAATAAAAGCAATTGTTGATTTGTGTTCCAGATTATCCTGCTATTTAGTCCAAGAGTATTGTTAGGTGACAGCTTGTTACTGATTTGAAAATTATTTTGTGTGGATAAACATAAGGATATTAATGTTAATCTGCTATGCCATTTATTCTGAGATTAAGTGAATATTGAAATGTGTCTCTTGATAAATGAAATATGAAATTTTTAAACATCTAGCACTGTGCAATGGTAGAACTATTAATTGAAGAGTTTGTGATAGTTTTCAAATTACAGTTTATACGTTTCTGTCATTCAATGAAGAAAAAGATGGGTGTGCATTGAATCTAGAGAAAACACAAGGCAAGGGTTTTGAGAAACACAAAATCCAAGCAGAACAAGAGGTAACAGCAAAATTTATCCATTAGGTGAAGTAACTATTTTGGGGTTTGTGCTTTTTGAAACATTATATATTTTGACAACACTATACCTATGATTATCTTAATGCAATTAGTTTAACAGTTTATAATTTTCTGTTTTATGTGTGAATATTATTGAAGATTAGTTTTTGAAAGGGCAACTTAAGTGTTTTGAGGCCATGATTCACGGAGATGAACACAGCCAATCTGGATTTATTTTGAAGCATTTATCAAGGTCTTCTATTCTGTAAGGTGCCTGGTTGGTTCACTTAGCTAGATGGCTAGTATGTGGTTCAAAATAATACCTATGGTGCAAGCTTGATTTCCATTACAATTGAGATAAGCTTAGGAACTGCCTCTCAGAATGGAAGGCAAGAGCAAACCACCACTGACAAAATCTGCCAAGAGAATGAGTCATATGAAGCATCAGAAGATATTAAACCAAGAACTTGCCTTCGGGCAAAACCGTACCATTCTAAACAAGTTTTCAAATCGTGGTGCAATGATTACATAAGTTTGGATATTCGGCTTTGTGTAAAGTACGCACTTGGACATCATGTGGAATTGAGGAAACATCTGATTTGAAAATTCTCATCAAGGATATCCAATACAATTAGATAATGTAGTCGTTGAAGCCTATGCATTGAATGTCCTGCGCATCTATACTTGAGTTGATAAATAATTATCAGTGTGTGTTAGTCGGGTGTTTAATTATATTCAGGAAGTGGGCATGAACTGGGAAGAACTTCTGTTGTGTGTGTTGCTGCAGAGTTTCACTTAGCTTTGGAGCTGTACTTGGAATGTAGCACAAATGAGTGACAATACCCAGGAATATATTGCATTTCATAATACAGCAACTATAAAACAATTGTAAATGATAATGAGTGATAACTAATGTGTAAAAAGGAATGAGAAGAAAGAAGGAGCTGTGACTTTATTGAAAGGGAAGAAAACATTTTCTGTATGTACATAACATACGTAAATGTCAAAAGGAATGCATTTATTATACCACAGACCTTAACTCAAATAGTCTGTCAGTGATCTAATGCAGGAAAGTAACCCCAAATTAGTCAATTTTTTAAAATGTCACACAGACACAAGCCTCTGAATAGCTCACACAAAGGTGGACCTCCAGTCACTCACTACATCAATGCCTCTTCTCTTTGCAGTCTTTAAAGAATTGCTTGATTGCAGCATGAATTCTGAAACCACTGTGTCTTTATTCCAGCCTTTAGAGCCATTTAGATTTTTCTCAAAACAAAAGATCTGAACAAAGTAAAAATCTTATTTCTGGATGATTTTCAAAACTAAATTTGTGGACCCATTCTTGATGATCTCTCAAATGTGTGCTTGTGTGTCAATCTAATTCCATTTCATTGACCACCCCATGTGTGGCTACTCCATTGTCCTGGTGTGTAGTTTGTGTTATTGAGGTTAATAGAGTAAAGACAATTTCTCTTTCAGAACAATGAAAAAGCAACTTGAGCATTAACGTCTAGATGCAAAACAATATTCAGTCAAAAGTAGCTGAGTATCCTTCGAAACAGCCAAAATCTAGGGCTAGGAAACACTATTGATCAGATAAATTATTAATTGTGACTTAATCAAAACACAATCACACTTGGCCTTAAATCAAAGATGTTGAAGTAAATGAAGCAGAAATGAGATCCAAATGATAATATTTCAAACATTTGTAATTTCCAACTCTAGGCCTACACTCTGCTCCTAAATGGAGGAGCAAACTGAAAATTATAGTGGTTGGGTTGGGGAATCAATATTTGTAATGTACATCTCTAAATACAAAACTTATAAATGTGCAACAGTTATGCTGTAATTCTACTTTTTGCCACATGTTTGTCTAGTGCAGAACAAATTTTTTGGTGGCACAGACTCGATGGGGTGAAGGGCCTCCTTGGCATAATATAATTCTATGATTCTAACAGTCTTAACATATCTAAAATTGAGAATTTTATGTCATGATTATTATCTATTATGCTGCTATATATCTGATACATTTGTGCCACCACAATAATATTGCTCCGAAAAGGGCTATTCAATGCACTGAATACTTTACCGCATCAGTGAACAAAAGGTCAATGGAGACAAGATTGCTGTGTAGCAATAGGCTTCCTAGCCTGTATAATGTATAAAATATTTACAAAAGCAGTTCATAAAAAAATTATTTCCATGTCCATCACCAAGAGTAGCACTACTGATAGAGCTGGTTGGCCTTACAGGACATAGTTGCTAGACTGGGTCTGTGACAGGTAGTGTGGGAACCAACAAGAGGGAGAACCATACTTGGCCTCACCTTAAAATCTGCTGGCTGCAAATGCATCTATCTATGACAATCTTTGCAAGAGTAGACACCGTGCAGTCCTTGTGCCGACAAAGTCCCACTTACCTACTGAGAATACCTTCATCGTGTTGTGTAGCGCTATAACTTTGCTAAACAGGACAGACTTTGAACAGAGATAGTAGGAACTGCAGATGCTGGAGAATTTGAGATAACAAGGTGTAGAGCTGGATGAACACAGCAGGCCAAGCAGCATCAGAGGAGCAGGAAGGCTGACGTTTCGGGCCTAGACCCTTCTTCAGAAATGGGGGAGGGGGAGGGGAAGAGGGATCTGAAATAAATAGGGAGAGAGGGGGAGGCGGATAGAAGATGGATAGAAGAGAAGATAGGTGGAGAGGAGACAGACCGGTCAAAGAGGCGGGGATGGAGCCAGTAAAGGTGAGTGTAGTTGGGGAGGTATGGAGAAGATAGGTCAGTCCAGGGAGGACGGACAGGTCAAGGG